AAGTATTTCTCCTAACCTGGGATACTGGATGCATTTTCTTAGACAAGAAGTTTTTGATTATATAGTATATATCACATATATATTGTATCTATACAGCACCTGTTCTATTAGTATGTGTAATACTTCTAGAGATGCCAAACATAAAAGTACAGGCTACGTTTAGAATTTCTATTAATAGCTACAATATTATGTGGATAAATTATATTAATGCGATAACAATTTTCAAACATATCATCACTTAGGGATCTGACATTTTTTGTGGAATTGGGACTGCACACGATTACGACCTTTTCATTATACCTACTCTATATTTAATCATTAAGGGTATTCAATTATTAGCTATGTGAAGTCTGATGGCAGGAGAGTCTATCTCTGAAAAAAAATCCAGGAAGACTCATGTTCCATAAACCATCCCTACTGAGGCTTGCATAACCTTGAGATTATGCAAGATGCTGACCCATCCCGTTCTCTAGTTATATATATAGTAAAAAATTAACGATATTGGTTATCTTGAGTTGCGACACCATCCTTACTTGACCATATTTTTGGTTAAGTACTTCTGTAGAATAACGTGCTAGAGAGGCTCAGATGATTCACATCACTGGATGTCTCATGCAACTAGGTTGAGTTGCTGTGTGATTAGGTGACGCCCAATGCGTGGCTACTTTTGTTAGCTGGAATAGATTTTGCAAACACGATGATCTGGATACTTCTGTTCTCAAACTAAACATCAAATACAACACAGGCATTCTCACACATAGACACCTGTTAATAAACAACCACATCCAATTAGTCTATACTTAAAAATTTTCCACAAATGCATCGTCAACTGAGTCAGACACACACGAGAAGAACAGACACATCTCCTCAGGGTTTCTTCCTGCAGTCATAGTCATAATCTCTCAGTATATTCACCTTTTTCTTATGGCTTGTTACTCTTTCCATGGGTTGGAGACCCTAAAGTTGGTTCACGGTAGCACTAACTGTTACAGAGACTATTGTCGCAACCTAAGCTTGTCTTCTGGTAACACTGCTTACATCAATTTCTTGTTCCCCTGTCGATCCTTCCAAGACTAGCTCGCAACCCTAGGTGCATTCCAATTGTTCTCACGCTACTTTGGTGGGTAGTAGGAGCTTTGTGATATTGGATAGTCGGGTCATCACTTCCATGAGTACTGTGGAAAATAAGAGGATCGGCAGATTGAAGTAAGACGAGGACAGGACTGGTGTATATAAAGATGAAGCTTTCACGTTGATTTGCACAGATTAGTGATTTGTTGATAAAGATTCCCTGAGCGCTTCTGAATTTAATAACTGCCTCTGGGCTTTTATAAATCTTCATTTTTCAGACATGAGAAACTGGTTCTCATCGTAGTGAGATTCTCAATTCGCTGTCTACTCTCATCCCTAAGCAGAATCTAGAATGGTCCTTCTGCAAAGTATCAAATATTCAATCTATATCGCGATCCCGGCTTGATTATCAACAATAGTCAGACACTGTACTCATTACTCAAAAACATTGACCCAATGACCTGTCATCTGTTCTAGAAGGTTTACTGATCATTCACCAAAGGCACAACACAAAATGCATTTCCCCACCTCCCTATCCTGCCTAATTGTGCTCGGTCTCAGTGTATTAGATCTAGCGAGAAATATGCGCTGGAAGCACTGTGTCACACATTGTGTGGTTCTGAATTGGTGTATGACTGTCTCCCTGGCTCTAAGGTTGTGTTAATGAAGGCAAGTCTTAAATGGCAGCAATAGGCAGCAAGATTTGAAAAAAAGAAAAATTCCATTCCTGGGTTGTCAGAGCTGTGAGTGCCCTACTGAGGCTAAGAAAAGAAATCGAGTTGCCCAATGTCACACTGTTGATAGTATAAGACGTATACACAATCCTTCCCACTCCCTCACACTCCTCAAATAAAAAAAAAAAAAAAAAAAAAAGCCCTATAGAGGTTTGCTGTATCTCACACTCTCATACAGTAATTAAAATCATGACGAAAGGCACTTGGAATTGTCCATGGTCCTGAAATATCCATACCATGGTCCTGAAATATCTTGGTGCTCTGGGTCCCAGCTATTTCTCCTAACCTGGGGATACTGGATGCATTTTCTTAGACAAGAATGTTTTTGATTTATATATATATATACATATATATTTATTATACACACAGTGTAGTTGTGTATATTCTGAGGGTACAAAGTGGTGTTATGATTTTTTAATACAATGTGGGATAATTACATTAAGCTAATTAACATATCCATCACCTTAAGTATTTGACATTTTTTGTGATGAGAACATTAGAAAATTATTTTCTTACTATTATTTAAATATACAGTATTCAATTATTAGCCTACTGTGCAATTTATCTAAAAAAATCAGACTCATGTCTCCCATCTATCTGAGGCTTCGTACCCTTTGATTATCACCTCTCCGTTTCTTGTTCTTGTTTATTATCTTGATGAGACTCTTACAATTTTTTAAATCTTCTGTAGAATAACTAGACTTATGTCTCACCTTTTATGAAGTTGATGCCACATGCTGCTCTTTCTGTTAAATAGATTTTAAACCTGACCTCTTTTCTTCAAACTCTCAACACACGGATTCTCACCACACACCTGTAAACACCCTCCAATGTCTCTCCATTGCATGGTCACACTGAGTCAGACACACAGAAGAACAGACACATCTCCTCAGGGTTCTCTTTCCCTGCAGGTCATAATCTCTCAGTATATCACCTTTTTCTTATGGCTTGTTTACTCTTTCCATGGGTTGCAAGACCCTAAAGTTGGTTCACCTGCCCCCATTGCTCCTACTTCCTGGTCACATTTACATCTTCCTCCTCAATGACTGCCGCAGTCCATTGTCCCCAGCAGGTGGGGTGGGAGCTTTTGTAATGTATGGGGACGGGCTGTGTGAGAAGAGGAATGGGAAGAGCAGTTTGTGAAGTAGGATGCTGGAGTTCCCTGAGGCTCTTTTTAAACCTCTTTACATCTCATCATTTTCATCTGAAGGTCGATGATTCTCAAGTTCCTGTCTCCATCGCAGAATCTGGGTCCTGAAATCCAATTTTTCACTTCCCATCCCTCCTTGATTATCACATAGGCAGCCCTCACTCAACATTACCAAACTGTCATCTTTGCCTAACACACCCACCATGCCTCTTTCTCTGCCTATGTTCCTCATCTCAGTGAAAGACAGGAGCATCTACCCAGTTGCTGAAGGGGCTATGACTGTCTCCCTGGCTGTCATCCTAAAACAACCCTGTTATCAGTTCCCCCAACTGTCTCTGGAATCCATCCACTTATCTCATCTCTACCACCTCATCCAAATTGGAGCCACCATCACCCTTTGTCTCTTTTCTGAGATTTCCACCCTGACTTTTGCCTTCTTCATCTCATTCTCTGTTCAGCATCCTGTATGTCTTACAAAGAGAGTGATTACATATCACTCAATCCATCAATGATTTCCCCATTCTCCACTGGATAAGTGTCTAGAAGTCTCACCATGGCCCACAAGGCACTACCAGGTTAGCACCTGCCCATCTCGACAGGTGTATTCTATTGCCATTACTTTCCTCTTGCTGCCTGGATTCCCAGCTCACAGACATCCTTCGAGGTTCTCTCAAAACTTTTAAGCTTCCCTCCCCTCTGTCTTCACACACGCTGTTTCCTCTGCTTAGCTCAACCCTCTCTGTCTCCCCTCCTGGCCAAACTCTACTCATCCTTCAGACCTCAGACCAAATATCTCTTCCATTGAAACTTTGTGACTCCTCAGATTAGTTAGTTCAAGTCTCCCTTTAGATGAGAGTTTGGCAAACTTTTCCTATAAAGGGCAAAATCATAAACATTTTAGGTTTTATGGGCCAGATGCTTTCTGACCCAACTACTTAAGCCTGCAATTATAGTGGAAAAGCAGCTCACAGATGATATGCAAACAAAAAGGCACGACTGAGTTCCAATATAACCTTAGTTACAAAAACAACCCGTGGACAGGATTTGGCTTGAGGATCATAGTTTGCTAACTTCATTTCTGTAGGTTCTAATAAAATTCTCATGCCCCTTATCAAAATTGTGATTAAATCATTATGCGTGCAGTGAATAGTTGGATAGCTTTTTCCAAAGGTCTGCGAGTCCCATGAATACCAGGTTATGTTTTGTTCACCATGTATCTAAGCAACCTCTTGCAGAAGTGCTTGGTGCATGGTTTGCTTCAACAAATGGAAGAAAGGTGATATCTTCACGTGAAGAGGGATGGCATGCTCTGCGGAGAGGACTTCTCTGGGGAGAGGGGGCTGCGTTTCTCTGTGCCCTGTCCAAGGGTCTGTCACTAACCTGCTCGCATACAGCCCAGGGTCGCCAGCCACCACTGGGGCACACGGGGCAGCACCACTGCGACACAGTCCCCGCGCCTCAGGCCGCAGGGCCCCAGGAGGACATTGGCCGCCTGCCGGCTGATTTCACTCAGTTCCCTGTAGTTCCACTTCACTTCCTCCCCTCTGTCACTCACCCACCACAGGGCGGGGCCCGGCGGTCGCTTGCCAGCCTGAGGGGAGAGAAGCCCGCTGGTTAGGGGCTGCTGGATCACAAACGGGGAGAATGATTTCCAAGTCTTGCGATTGCCAAGTCAGCGCTTAGTAAGTAAGCTTTTCCATCTCAGGACTCCCACACACTCTTAAAAAAATATTAAAAACCCTAAACAGTTTTTATTTATAGGGGTTAAATCTATCGATATTTACCATATTAGAAAACAAAATTGAGAATGTTAAAAAATGTGTGCTTTTTAAAAATAACAGTAGTAAACCCATTATATATTAGCAGGAATAAAATTTTTTAAATAAAAGATATACCTTCCAAAACCAAAAATAAAAAAAGAATAATAATAATGAGAAGAGGGGTATTATTTTATATTTTTGCAAATCTTTTTAACGTCTGCCTTAGAAGACTGTTGGATTGTCTTATCTGCTTTTGCACTCACTCTGTTTCCATATTACCTAACACACACCTTCTGGAGAATGTCACTGCATACTTGTGAGAGAATCAGAGTGAAAAAGGCAAATATTTGATCTTTATTAAGTGTATTAATTAATATAATTAATATATATTTATATCTTAGGTTTACGTAGATATTTATCTCTACTTATTTATTTTTGTTTTATCTTGTAATATATATATATATATATATATTAAAATGTACCATTTCAACTATTTTTAAGTGTACTGTTCAGTGGCATTAAGTACATTTGCATCACTGTGCCACCATCACCGCCAGCCATCTCGAGAAGTTTTTCATCATCCAAAACTGAAATTCTGTCCCTATTATGAATAACTCCTCATCCTCTCTCTCCTTAGGCCCTGGTAACCACCACTCTACTTTCTGTCTCTATGAATTAGCCTATTGTTAAGTACCTTAAATAAATGAAATCAAACAATATTTGCCCTTTTCTGTCTGTCTTGTTTCACTTTTTAGCACAATGTCTTCAGCATTCATCCGTGTTGTAGCCTATATTGGAATTTCCTTTCTTTTTAAGGCAGAATAGTATCCTATTGTAAATATACACATTTGATTATCTATCTGTTGATGGACATTTGTGTTGTTTTGACCTTTTAGCTATTGTGAATAAAGCCACCATAAACACGGGGGTACACCTATCTCTTATGGACCTGGCATTTGATTTTTTGGGCATATACCCAGAGTTGGAATTGCTGGATTACATGGCAATTCTATTTTTAATTTTTCGAGGAGCCACCGTACTGTTTTCTATAATAGCTGTACCATTTTAAATACATACCAGCAGTGCACAGGGGTTCTTACTTCTCTGTTTTATTTTCAAATAATTTGCACTTCACAGATCACCTGAAAGAGTCTCATGTATCCTCAGGGGTTCCCAGATCATAGTTTGAGATTAATAATGCAAAAGCAAAGGAAGACATGCTAGTCATTTTGTTATATATTTCAAAATTCCTCTCCATCAAAGTTACACCACTTTGTAGTAACGTACGAGAATGTCTTTTTCCTCACAGCCTTGCCAAAAGAGTGTGCTGTCAAACTTTTGTATTTAACTAATGAGATAGGTTAAAAAATCCGATTTCAATAAAGTTTTCATTTGCAGTCCTCTTATTAAAGGGGACGGTGAGCATTCTTTCTTTGGTTTAACGGCCATTTGAGTTCACTTTTTTATGAACTATCTGTTCACATACTTTGCCCACTTTTATTTTGGATTGTGCCTTTTTATTCTTGATTTCCAGGAGCTGTTTTTGTATTAGGGATATTAACCCTTTTGCTGTCATGTGAATTGAATATTTCCCCCCAGTTGTCATTAGTTTCTATTTTGCTGATGGTGCTGTTTGTCAATGTAGAGCTTTTTTGATATTTATATAATAAAATGTATTTACTACTTCCCTTTATAAATTCAGAATTGTCAGTCATGGTAGTAAGGGCCTTCCTCAATATCCCAAGGAAACATAGCTTTTAAAGAAAATCTAGATATCTAAATTTTTGCCTGAAAATTTTCAATATTAAAATGTTGATCTATTTTTTTTAGTAGTACCCTACACCTAGAGCCACTTTTGGCCTAGCGGCCAGGCGTTTGCAATCTCTGCACTACGGTTGTGTTGTGGTGTTGGGCATGCAAGACAACAACATGGTCATGACTTCCTCTGAGCACCATGGTTTTCAGCCCATGCTGGTAGGTCCATCCCTCCCCCTATCCTAGCCATGACAAATCCTTCCACCCTCTAGGAAAGTAGGTTCACAGGACTTCTGGTGAAGGCAACAGTGTATAAGCAAGGGATGAGTTAGAATTCCAGAACTCCAGTGCTGGGAGGGAAACTCATAAATTTCTGCATTAGAAATTTGGTGCATAGTTTGCACCTTCTCTTTCTCTTCTTCTCTTTCTTTTCCCTTCTCTTTTTCTGATGTCTCATATTGGGGCTCTTTTGACAATCCTTGCCTAGTAGCCACCCTATTTGCACACCCCTAATGACCTAACCTTCGGAGCAGACTGGCTGAGTCTTTGGTCAGTGCTGATTTGCTCTTAACAAATTCAAACCCACCTCTTCTGTGACCCCAACCCACTAGTCCTTGTCCCACCCAGCGAAGTCACAACAGAGCATGTGCAGCATGTGGAAGCCAGCTGTGTGTCAGTTGCCTGGGGTTTACCAGATTGCTCTACCCTGTGCCAGACTCCTGTGACCTTTTTTCTGCCAATCATGCTGTCCTCCTCCCACCCTTAATGCTGCCGTCATGGGAGATGAGCACCTTATTCATAGCTTATGACACTGCCTGACACATAATAAGTGCTCAATAAATACTTAGGGAATGAATAGATGAATTAATGAAGTCAGCCAAGTCGTCTCTCTCGGTGCCTCTTTCCACCCCCTTACCGTCTCCATGTCAGCCCAGTGATCGATCACATCTCTAGCGAAGTTAAACGTGGCAGGAACTTCCTGGCGGCCCCACTGGACCGATGCCAGTTGCCTCACAGTAATGTGGGGAGTGAGGCTGGACATCTGAGCACCCCATAGTGTGCAAAGGCCCTGAAGTTTCCGCAGCCAGTGCATGGTCAGACCTGCAAAGGAAAGAGGAGACACAGGTAAGCGCTTCTTGAATAGATTGCTCTGTTAAGCATCAGCTGCTTCCAGAGAGTTTCCCCAAGTGCGCGGCATTCTTTCCAGGAATTAATTTGCTGAGGTCATGAGTGAATTGGCACTCAGCATCTGTCTCCTTGTGGTGTGCTATTCTCCAAAAGCACAGCAGAATCTAGACCCAGTCTAGATTCTACCTCTTCAACACTTCTGACAGTTTTTTGAACACCCATATTCATGTGATAAATCCCTTTGTACTGAAAATACAGTGGGTGGTAGATGAGAATGTTGTTCCCAACAGTTTGTTCCCTTCCTGTAGCAGGATTCTAGTAATATATCCGCACTCATTTTTGTGTGCCTTCCCAGCACATCCTGGAGGAAGAGTATCTATCCACATCTCATTGGTTTGGGCTTGCTCCTGGGATAGCTTTGGTCAATGGGATGTGAGTAGGTAGGATTGTGTGGTTGGTCAGAGACTCTTGCATTTCTGCCCTCTGTGTGAGAGTTGCATATTCCACATCAATGCTGTACCTTCAGCCTGGGGCCCAAAATGACAAGACAGGTGAAGTTAAACTGAGCCTGGTATGACCACTGTCAACTCACCGACCCATATGTATGGCTAAAAGGCACTGAGATGTTCAGGATGTTTGTTACTATAGCAAATGCTTACTAATACAAGTACCCTCTCTCCCTCCCTCCCCTCTCTCCCTCCCTCCCCTCCCTCCCTTCCTCCCTCCCTCCTTCCTTCCTTCCTTCCTTCCTTCCTTCCTTCCTTCCTTCCTTCCTTCCTTCCTTTTCAAATACAGGATCTTCCTCTGTCACCCAGGCTGGAGTGCAGTGGCATGATCATAGCTCACTGCAGCCTCCAGCTCTTGCACTCAGGCAATCCTCCTGCCTTGGCCTTCTGGGTAGCTGGGACTATAGGCTGGTGCCACCATGTCTGGCTAATTTTTTTATTTTTTTGTAGATACAGGTCTCACTATGCTGCTCAGGCTCGTCTCAAACTCCTGGGTTCAAGCAATCTTCCCACCTCAGACTCCCAAAGTGCTGGGATTACAGGCATGAGCCACTGCCCCCAGATTACCATCTATTTCTTTAAATTGAATCTTCACTGATAACTGTTAAATACCATGCACTTAGTCCACAGGGCCTAATACAATCACTTTGGTGATTATAGCTCTTGTAATTATTCTTTCTATGTACATGGGTCCAGGAATAGTAGTTCCAGGGCTGTGTAGGCTGATCTTTGAATTACATGGTGTAATTCAAAGATCAGCCTGAGAACCTTGAGAAGGCTGCAGAATTTAAGTTTAATGATGATGTATTAGAGGAACCCAGCCAGTCAGTAGTCCAGTTAATAGGCTGAATTCACAGTTTCTTTTGTCTAGGCAGCAGCAGCCAGAATGCTCAAGGTGTCTGACAATTCTGTCTCCTGTTTTATTTTTTATGGAATAAGAAATAAAGATTTCCTTACCAGCTCCTGGGCAGGAATGTCTATTGCCTTTGTACCTGCGGGTCCCTCTCTCTTTCCATAACTGGCTCTTTCTCATTTTTCCACCTCACCTCCTCTGAGACGTCTCCTTCTCTGACCACCACCCTACTTCCAGGTTCCTCTGACCGCCCTTCTCCCAGCCACCCCAGTCCCTCACTTTCTCTGTGCTAACCATGCCCAGTGCCTCCTCACTGAGACCTGGCAGAAACCCCATTTCACAGTGCCCAGGAATTGCAGATTGCTTTTCTCTGGGGATTGGCACTCTCCTCACTGACCATAACGTCTAAAGATTGGTGAGTGTCATCGTGGGGCATGACCCCATCAGTCCATTCCTTGCAACAGCGCTCACCTGTTGAGTCCTTTCAGGAAGTCTCTCAGGGGAGAGCTGGGTCCACTCTTGGATGTCCAGCAAAGAGCCCAGATTCCCCTGCAGTCCTGGAGGAGAGCACAGCTAACCAAGCAGACAGCTCCAGATTCCCTGCAGCCTTGGAGGGGAGCAGAGATAATCATTAACAGTGGATAACCCTGGAGTCTTACTTGGGGTAACAGCAGTCCTCCTAGCCAAGTTCACAGGCTGCACAGCCCTAGAGCCCTGGGGGCCAACAGGACCTGCTCTTTCAATCCAAGAAGCTGAAAGCAGGTTCATGGCCGGGACTGACAGCGAGTCATTGCTCCAACCAGGGAGAGAGAAATGGAGCTCCAGTGGACTTGCCGAACTCTCTCACCTCCTTTAATCCTTCCCTTCACTTGCTTCCAGCACACCCCATTGGCCTGGCTTTCCTCTCACTCCCAGTCTCTTCTGCTGACCCCTCATCATCTCCTTTATCCACACTCACTCCGCACATGAGCTCGCCCACTGCCGTGGCTTGGCCATCGCCTGCCTTGCCAGGGACCCCGCACGTGTGTCTGCAGCCTGCATCTCTCTCCTGCATCCTCACCTGCTTGGCTTCTCCTCCTGGATGTCCAACAGGCCCCTGGACCACGCATAATCCAATGCTGAGCACCTGCTACTTCCCCTGCCTGCAAATCATCCCCCTGCAGCCACCTTCTCATCCATCTCTGCAAACGGCAACCTGTTCTTCTAGGTCTTCCAGCATCAAACCTTGGAGTCTCCCTGACTCTTTTCTTTCACACTTGGATCTGGAAGTTCCTCAGATCCACCTGAAAGTTATATCCAGGCTCTGATCCATTCTCTGCCCTGATCCACACCACCATTTTCTTTTCACCAGGGTGATTTGTGGCCTCCTCTCTGGTCTCCCTGCAGTCTTCTCAATGCAGCAGCCAGAGTGAGCCAGACTTAAAACTGAAGTCAGACTGTGAACCCCTAGAGAAAAATCCCACGTCCTTGCTCTCACCTACAAGCTCATTAACTCAAAGACCTCTTCTCCAAAAACTCTTCCCCTTACTTCTTCTGCTCCAATCACGAGAACGTCTCTGCTGTTCTAGCTGCATGTCAGACATGCCCCAGCCTCAGGGCCTTTGCACTTGCTGTTCCCACTGCCTGAGATTCTCTTCTCCTAAATGACTAGCCTCCTTGCTGCCTTTGGATCTTTAATAAAAGCCATCTTCTTGGTGAGTCCTTCTCCACTGACCTGATCTAACATCACTGCATTCCACCCTCCTGCCACCTTTCTTCTCTTTGGCCACACAGGTGTCACTCTCTACTTATGCCTTACTTGTTTGTGTCCTCCTTATAAGACACAAGTTCCCTGAGGGCAGTGACTTTTATATTTGTTTACTTTTGTTCCTCAAGTCCTAAAACAGTGTCTGGTACAGCTCAGTAGGTTTAATGAATATGTATTCAATAAATTCTCCGTCTCCATCATCAGAACATCCCTAAGAAGCAGGGATGACTTTTAACCACTCTGTATAGATGAGGAAACTGAGGCTGGAAGATCCCAAGATCCCCTGGCAAGAGAAAGGGGATCTCAAATGTCCATGACCATCTGTCTGAGCTCCCAACATAGATTCTTTTCTTTGGGGCTTTCTAATACCCCACCGAAAGCTCACTCTTCTCTGCTTCTCAGAGAGCGTGGCAAGGCACCAGTGCGGCTTACTTTAGACTGAGGCCTGCCTGACCCCCGTGTGATCTGGGTGATCTGTCCCTCTCCTGAGCTTCTCCAAATGCCTAGTGCTCACTCTCATGCCCATCCAGGTTTCAGTGGTCCTGAGTTTAGTGAACTGGTAAGCGCACAGGCGTTGGAATCAGACGTCTCTTCTAACCTGACTCCACCTTGTAATATTGAGTGACAGTCACTGATCCTCCCAGCCTCAGTTTCCCCATCTGTAAAATGGGGTTCATATCAGCCCCTCTCTCATGCGGTGTGTGAGAGAATGCAGTGAAAGAATGCTTTAAAGCACTGAGCACAGTCAGGGAATCCAGTAAGAGAAGGATGTCAGGTCTCCTGCAGCTCTGTTGGAGGCACCCACACAGTCAAGCAAACAAAGGCCTTTTCAGATCCCTGAGTGGAGAAGATGAAGCCCCAGAGTAGAGCAGTAAATTGCTGGTGGTCACACCGTACCTGCCAGCCACAGGCCAGGGCCTAGAAACCCTAACCTCCCCGGAGAGTGTCCCACCCTGGGGCCACTGACTTATGGCCCTGAGACTAGAGTTGGAAATCAGAGGGCTCTGAGCTTCTGAGATAAGAAGTTTTCCAGCAACTCCACCAAAGGGAAAAATGCCGCAGCCAGATACGGGGCTGCGGGAATTATAGGCCATGTCGGATTTTATATCTCCCCAGATGGAGAACGTGATCCTGATGTCACAGAGCTTGCCTGTTCCCTCCTACCCTGACCAGTGTGAACCCCAGGGGCCCCGCTCTTACGGAGTTATTCCCCTGGGGTGCTGGACACCAGGGGTCCATTTGCTAAAAGGCCCCCTGTGAGGGGCAGAGATGGAGCTTCTCCCATGGTGAGATTTCTGTTGGAGATGCAAGCATTGGGCAGGGGCCCCCAGGCCAGGTAAAAGATGTGAGTGCCAGATACCTGGCCGTGACTAACTGCTGCAGCACAAAGGGACAAAGAACCATGCCAGGGGACATCTGAATGAGCCAGAGCATCTTGAAGGCTCCAGAAGCAGGGTCCAACTTGGGGTCTGGAGGAAATACATCTGGAGAGGATGCCAAAAGCAGTTTGGGCCCCTGTCATGCTTTTCTCTGGGCCGATCCTAGAAATGCCAGGGCTCGAAACACCTGTCTATGTAGGGCAGCAACAATTTTCTGCTGTGAGAAAATGCATAGAATCTCACCTGCCAGCCCGCTTCTCCTCCACCCCTGAAGGTATCTGTCGTTCCTTCTTCTGTAACCCTGCAATAGATATTTCCCAGTCACACAAACGCTCTTCTAGAAAGCTCTTCCCTGTGTCTTCTCTAATCCCTCTTGCTGTTGCTGCTCTGTGCCCCTGTCTTCAGCTGCTCTCTGCTGCTGTATCAGAATAACACAGATTGGGTAATTTACAAAGAAAAGAGGTTTATTCAACTCAAAGTCCAAGAGCATGACACTGGCATCTGGCGAGGGTCATCTCATGGCCCATGGAAGGGCAGAGAGTGGAAGAGTGAGATTACACATGTAAGAGAGAGCTTGCTTGTATAACAAAGCCACTCCCATGGTCACTAACCCACTAATCACTCAATAATCATGCAATAATGGCATTGATAAATTTAATTTATCTGTGCAAAAATTAAATAAGTAGACATTTAAAAAAATAAAGAACTCTGGCAAATCAGCAAGAAAAAAATCAAGCAACCTCATTAAAAAATGGGCAAAGGACACAAACGGAAACTTTTCAAAAGAAGATAGACTAACGGCCAACAAACATATGAAAAAAATGCTCAACATCTCTAATCAGCAGGGAAATGCAAAATCAAAACCACAATGAGATAACACTTAACTCCAGTGAGAATGGCTCTTATCAAGAAGTCCCAGAGCAACAGATACTGGTGTGGATGCAGAGAGATAGGAACACTCATACACTGCAAACTAGTACAACCTCTATGGAAAGTAGTCTGGAGATACCTCAAAGAACTAAAAGTAGAACTACCATTTGATCCTGCAATCCCACGACTGGGTATTTACACAAAGGGGAAAAAAAAAAAAGACATTCTATAAAAAAGATACCTGGATTCAAATGTTTTTAGCAGCACAATTCACAATTGCAGAGATGTGAAAACCACCCAAATTCCCATCCAGACATGAGGGGATTAGTAAAATATGGTATATGTATTATACAGAGTACTACCGAGCCATAAACAAAATGGTGAATTAATACCTATTATATTAACCTGGATGGAGCTGGAGACCATTCTTCTAGGTCAAGTATCACAAGAATGGAAAAACAAACGCCACATGTACTCATCATTAAATTGGTACTAATTGATCAACATGTATTATGCACATGTGGAAGTAACACTCATTGGGGATCTGGCATTTGGGACAGGGGAAGAGGGGATGGGGAAATTCACACCTGATGGGTGTGGTGCACGCTGTCTGAGAGTTGGGCATGCTTCTGGCGTGGACTTGGGCAATTTATGTTACCAAAGTGTTTGTACCCCTGTAATATTCTGAAATAAAAAAAATTAAAAATTAAACCAAATACATGGCACACAGTAAGCACTCAATAACTCACAGTTACTTAAGTTTAGGATGGGAGGCTTAGAGGAGGAGTCTGGACTCACACTGACACATCTGCAGGGAGGGAGGGTTCGGAGGTTGTTTTGATCCTTCCTGCAGATCAAATGGATGCAGCAGATTTAGGGACTGAGGGACACAGTCCTTGGAATGGCAGTCAGAGTCCCATGAATGAAAGGAAGCTCAAGAAAAAATAATTTGTCCTGCGAGACACTGGGACTAAAGAATCCACAGACACATTTGGTTTGGGAGCTACTAGATCCAAGTTCCAGAATACAAGCCACGGGTCTTAGTCCATTTTATGTTGCTGTAAAGCAATACCTCGAAAGGCACAGCCTTGCAAAAATGACAGGAGAATGCCTAATTCCACAATGTCCTAGTAACAGTTAAAGATCAACCCTGTGAGTTCTCCCCCTAGCAGACACCCCTCGGGAGTTCTGTTTTGCATAACTTCTGAAAAGAGCTGAACGGACAGAAAAGAGATGTAAATCTTTCTCTCTCAAATTGTTTTTTGGGAACAGCAGGAGAACAAGCTGCCGCCTCCACCATTGCCCTTGCCTCCACCATAGCTCAAGGGCAAAGCCACGTCTCCTGCCATAATCCCATCTCCAAGGAAAGGTGGGGACACCAACTCTTGGACTGTGACATCCTGCCACTGCTTTTGTTATCAACTCACAGCCAGTCACTATTTTTTTCTCTCCATTTCCCCAAATCAGTAAGCCTCTTGACCTCAGGGAGGGGACCTCCCTTCTCTCTCTTTAGGATGCCACGCCGTCTCCCTGCTCTATTTTCTCCCTCTCTTTCCCTTCTCTCTCTGACTCCCTCCTTATCTCTCTCTCTCTCGCGCGCGCGCGCGCGTGCGCCTTCTAAAAAGATACTTTTATGTATCCTAATCTCTGTGTGGGAAGCTTTTCTCCACCTGTGCCGTGAGCACCTAGTGGGCTTTCCACCCCAACAACCTGAGGCTGGGTAATTTATATTTTTTAAAAAACACTTGTTTGGCTCCTGATTCTGATGGGCACCTGTGCCTGGTGAGGACCTAAGGCTCCTTCCACACTTGGTGGAAGGCGAAGGGGAACCTGCGTGTTCAGAGATGGCAAGAGCAGAAGCAAGAGAGCAAGGGGAGGTGACAAGCTTTTTTTTTTTTTTTTTTTTTTTTTTAATATCCAGGTGTTTGGGGGAACTCATAGAGCAAGAACTCACTCATCCCCCAAGGAGGGCATTAATCCATTCATGAGGGATCCTTCCCCATGTCTCGGTGCCTTCCATTAGGCTCCACGTCCAACACTGGGCATCGAATTTCAACATGAGGTTTGTAGGAGACAAGTGTCTAAACCATAGCATTCTTCCCCTGCCCACCCCCCAATCTCATGTCCTTCTCAATGCCACATTCATCCCCAAAGTTCCAAAAGTCATAACTGGTTTCAGCACAAACTTAAAAATTCAAAGTCCAAAGTCTCACCCGAGACTCAGGGCAAGTCCCTTCCAACTATGTGCCAGTAAAACTAAAAATAAGTTATTTACTTCCAAAGTACAATGGTTGTACTGGCATTGGGTAAACATTCCCATTCCAAAAGGGAGAAATCAGCCAATAAAGGGGTAACAGGTCCCATGCAAGCACAAAACCCAGACGGGCTGATTAAATCTCCAATCTCCAGAATAATCTCTTTTAACTCCATGGCTGGCAACCTGGGCACACTGGTGTGCGGTGTGGGCTCCCAGGGACGCAGGTGGCCCTGTCCCCATGGCTTTCCTGGGTGCAGCCTCTGTGGCTGATCTCAGAGGCTGGAGTCTAATGCCAGAGGTTTCTCCAGGCTGAAGTCACAAGCTGCTGGTGGCTCTACAATTCCAGGGTCCTGATGGCAGCTCCACTCCTGCAGCTCCAGCAGGCATTGCCCAGGTGGGGACTCTCAGCGGTGGCTCTGCCCTGTGGCAGGTTTCTGCTCGGACACCCAGGCTTTCTAAAACATCCTCTGAAATCTAGGTGGAAGTCGCCATGCCTCCGTGGCTCTCGCATGCTGGGCACCTGCAGACTTAATACCACATAGACATTGCCCAGGCTGAGAGCTTGCACCCTACAGAGCAGTAGCCTGAGCACAACCTGGGGCCATTTGAACCACAGCTGGGCGGGACTGGCCAGGATGCAGGTAGCAGCATCCTGAGGTGGTTCAGAGCAGCAGTGCCCCAGGCCTGTCCCCTGAAACCGTTCTGTCCTCCTAGGCCTCTTGGCCTGTGATGGGAGGGGCAGCTTCAAAGTTTTCGGAACTGCCTTTGGGGCCCTTTTCTAATCGTCTTGTATATTAGCACCTGGCTCTGCTGCATCCTTCGATTCTGCTCCTGAAAATGTTCTTTCCTTCTTGACAACACGCCCAGGATGGGAATTTTCCAAATTTGTATGCTCTGCTTCCTTTTTATTATAGTTATAAATTCTGCCTTTAGGTAACTTCTTTGCTGCCGTAATTCAGCATAAGCTGTTAAAAGTAACCACAGCATGTTTTGAACACTTTGCTGCTTAGAAATCTCTTCTACCAGATACCCAAGGTTGTCACTCTTAAATTGTCTTCCACAAAGCCCTGGGGCATGGACACAGCGCATCCAAGTTCTTTGCTACAGTGTAATAGTGACCTTTGCTCCAATCCCCAATAAGTTTCTCATTTACACCTGAGACTTCTTCAGCATTAACTTTACTGTCTCTATTTCTATCAGCATTGCAAAAAGAAATAAAGTTTCAGGAACTTCCAAATTTAATATGCTAAAGGGAAAAGTTAAACTCTGAAAGCTGGTTCATGTAACACCCATGACCGTTGCTTTTTGACCTTTATGTTGAGATGTTGTACACTAACCAGACTCCCTAGACTTCATTCAAACCTAGACTAAACAAAGTGGGGTAGAAACCCTTGTGTCAGTTACCTCTATATAACACAATGTTAAACAACTCCCTTAGGGTGTAATTAATAGTAGACAAATCTTACATCTGTGTGTTAGCCTTTGTGTGGAAAATGTTGCGATTCTGCTCAGCACTTCCACTTTGCCTATATGCTATGAATGATCCTCATTTTCCCCCACACCAGGAGCACTGATCACCATTCTTTGATGTCACTCTGCTGCCCAGGATGGTGTCTTCACCACTTTGAGCTTGAATAAACTCTTTTTTGTTGTCGACATTATTTATGGACATGTTAATTTATTTTTTACGGGTAAAACATACATGCATAATTTACCATCTTTACCATTTTAACTGTAAAATTCAGTGGCAATAAATACATTTCTATTCTTTTACTCCTCCCTTCATCCCCTCTGTCTACCCTTCCCTTCCCAACCTCTGGTAACTAGCAGTCTACTCTCTATCTTCATGAGATCCAAGTTTTTGTCCCCCACATATGAGTGGGAACATGGGATGTTTATCTTTCTGTGTTTGTTTCACTTAGCATAAGAGCCTCCAGTTCCATCCATGTTGCTGCAAATGACAGAATCTCATTCTTCTTTTATGGCTAAATAGTATTGCACTATGTATATATGCCATGTTTTCTTTGTTCATTCATGCATTGATGGGCACTTAGGTTGATGCCACATTTTGGCTATTATGAATAGTGCTGCAATAAACATGGGAGCACAGATATCTCTTTGATATATTGATTTCCTTTTTTTTTTTGGGTATATACCAAGTAGTGGAATTGCTGGACCATATGGTGGGTCTATTTTTAATTCTTTGAAGAACCTCCATACTGTTCTAGACAGTGGCTGTACTGATTTACTTTCCCACCAGCAGTATTTGAGAATTCCCCTTTCTCCACAGCCCCACCAGCATCTGTTATTGCCTGTCTCTTTGATGTAGGGCATTTAAACTGGGATGAGATGATATCTTATTGTGGTTTTGATTTGCATTCCTCTGATGATTAGTGATA